ACTCCAGTTATAAAATCAAATCTTCCTTATTTCCATTAAGTGGTCATCTAGTTTCATCCTCCTTACCTGCATCTATACCTGTAAAACAATTTAAATATCTAGGCCACTTGGGCGGCTGATGCTGTGCATCGGTGTGTTAATGTGTATGAATTAGTTTCTGTTCGATGGGCTTTGCTATCGCTGTGTGAAAGGGTGAATGTGGCATGTAGCGTAAAAGCACTTTGAGTGGTCAGAAGACTAGAACGGTGCTATATAAGTACAGGTCAATTTACAAATAATTATTTGTATTTACAAACAATCTACTGATCTAGAAAGATGGATTTATCTCCCCAACTCCATACTGGCTTTTGTCTCTATAGTGAAAATTAAATTAATATTAAATATTATATAAATTAAATTTATATTGAGAGAAAAATGGCATCAGGAGGTGTGTCATTTTCCAAACTGGAACATTACTTTTGGTCCTTTGTAATAAGACCTCTGTCAGCCTGGTTCAACCCTGATGCTGTTGTCTCATGGAAATACATAGAAATAAATAAAGTTTACAACATATATATAGTCTAATCTGCCATTCCACTAAAACATGCCAAAATTCACTTTGGCCCTGTTATAACTTTTCACTCCCCAGACATACCCCAAACACACCAATCTTTCATAATTATTTCCTTCTCTCAGGAGCTGTCCCATTTTCCTCTCCAGTATGGAAGGATAAGGACATTCATGTTTCAGGAGATATTTTTGATGAAGCTGGACTACACTCTTTGAATGAATTGCAGACCACTTTTGATTTACCTGCTTCACAGTTCCTTCATGAAGGCCTATGGGGTTCCTTGGAAAACAACATTTACTATTTTAAAGTTACATAAACTACAAAATAAACAAGGTCAGACAAAGAGCTTAATGTCAGAACTTTACTCAGCAGATCTGGGCCCTTGGAGGACAGAAGTTGAAAAAAGATTGTGGAAATATTGTTGAACCAATAAACAATGAACAAATATGAACAAATATGTATAATGTTAGCTGGTCTGACAGCTGCAAAATAGATGTTGGCCCTTCGCTGGCAACCACCACATGTATTGCACAGTGGATTTATATTTATCTAGAAGTAATTAATATGGTGCTCTCAGTTGCCAAAATGCATGGTGCCAACAGTCAAACCATCTCCTTCTGGGCAGAGACACTAATTCAGGTTGAAGCATTACAAATTAAATGTAAGATGGGAGATTGGACTATGTACACTGACGTTATGACAACTTCCTTTTTCATGGCGAATCTTGAAAATTGGACGCCACACCACGAGCACGCCGTTCAACTGAATGTCATAAATTTGACAACTTTTAATCATGAATATCTTGAGATTGCACTGATTAAATTTGAAGTTGATCTGATAAATTCCCTAGGAGGAGTTCCATGGAATTAAAAATGGCTGACTTCCTGTTGTTTTGGGTTATGGGTCCAAGAGGCTTTTCTGCTTGTCCGATCATGATACATATAGGTACCAATTTTTCGTACATGTCGGTCATATGTGTCTTTGGGGCTAATTCTGGGGGGAGCGTGGCTAAGCCATTTTGTGATGCCTATCTGCGGGACCAAGACAATACGTTAGCGTTCACCACCACTGAATTTTGTGCAAAGTTTCATGAGGTTTCAGGCATGTGTTTCCCCCCAAATAGTGTTCAGATGTTAACACAAAGGCAAATTCTTTCGCCGCATCGCCATGGCAATGTGGTTATCGAAAATTCTTAAGATTCACAAGCTGTCATCGTCATCATCCTTACGGAGTTCAAACAGAATTTCAGCTGGATCTGGTAAATCTGCTGGAAGATATACATAAAAGTATAAAAATGACATTTCCTTTCACCACTAGGTGGCGCTCTCACTATTAGTGAATATTATGACATAGACATGTTCAGGGCGACACTCTTATTAGACAAGTGAAGTTTGGAGCCGAATGGACAATGTACACTCAAGTTTTAGCGAACTCGTGTTGTGGCGGTACATCAAGATTTCATGCCATGCAACGGACACGCCCACTCACCACAGTCATCACATATCATCAACAAAGTGTTTTGCATTTTATAAGTAAATTTCAGCTAGATCTGATCATCCTGCTAGGAGTAGAACGTGAAAGTATAAAACATGATACTTCCTGTTGCCACTAGGTGGTGCTCTCACTATTACTGAATATTATCACATAGACGTGTTCAGGGCGGGACTCTTATCAAACATATAAAGTTTAGATGAGATCGGATTATGTATGAAGAAGTTATGACAAATCCCTCACTTATGGCGAATTGTTGAAATTCCACTCCACGGGTAAACGTTTGGCGGAATATCGTAAATAGCACAACTTTTAATCATGAATGTCTTTAGATGATGCAGTTCATTCAAATATATGTGAGCAAATTGCCAGAACTGGCCGCTAAATCGAAAATGGCTGACTTCCATTTGGGTTTGGGATATGGCGCCCACTCGATTTTTTGTTCGCCTGGATAAGATATACACGTGTGCCAGTCTTTATGCATATCGGTGAAAGGGGCCAGGGTGGTTCAGCTTTGGGCACCTGAAGGGCCACTTTGCCATGCTCATAGTTGACTCCTAGAAAATACGACTGACTTCGCACGATTTGTGCTTGGGGCCTAATAAGAATCCTTCCAATTACAATAGGGCCTTTGCACGGTCAGTGCTCGGGCCCTAATTAATAATTCATAGCTTCAGATGTGCCCTGTGTTCTAAGATGTATGTGACACAACCACTGTCCCTGATCTGAATCTGGAGACTAATTATATGCATTTTGTATGTTTTATGCGCTTTATCGATCCATGTCCAATTGTCAGGTGTTGTTTTGTTTGCTCGTGATCTTCTGTTTATTTTCTTAGTCATAGTAACACCCCGAAAGAGTGATTTTCTGTTTGTTTTCTTAGTCTTAGCATTTCCTCGCAAGAGTGATTTTCTGTTTGTTGTTTTAGTCCTAGTATTACCTTGCAAGAGTGTTTATTGTTTTGTTAATAAAACTTTATTTTGATACTTTTGTCTGAGTTGTGCAATTGGGTTCTAGTCCATAGTTTGGTCGTGACAGTGTCTCAATTCGAATACTTCCATTAGTACACTTCAACAGTATGTAGTACACTATGCACACTATGTATTTACTTGTGTAGTGCAGTAATTTCATCAGCGTAGCACTTACCGGAAATGACGATTGCAACATTTACCATGTCACCTTCTTCAATGGGAATTTACAACCAGACAGAGCGTTAGAACCAATACTGGCTTGTTTTTGTTGATTTCTTCAGGATATTGGTAAAAAAAATACTTTTTCATTGCCTGTGTTGCTCTGTTTCATGCAAGGTGGAAATTACACCACCCACATGCACTAAATGTAGTCCTACTGAAGGAAAATGTACTGGTACGTTCAGGTGGTGGCTCCCCTTCTGCTACGTAACAAAAATGGCAAGCACTTAGGGTGAGAAGTGTCCAACTTTTTATGAGTGCACCATCGGGGGTACTCAAATGCACTGCATTTTGCCACACTTGACAGTGTAAATGCACTTATGTCCTCAAAATAGTTAGTGTAAGTATTGAAGTATTCGAACTGAGACAAGGCAATACTTGTTTTTATTTCATATTATTCCCTTATTCCCTGTGCATGGAGCCTGCATTGTTCATTATGTGACTTGATAGCATTGGTTGGAAGTTGAGGTTAGCTGCTAATGTAGCTTGGAGCTTTGCCTCAGGCAGATATGGAACAGGTTACAGAGGTTGGTAAGCTCACTTACTCTTATTAACTCCACACTGACCAGATTTGTTTTATTTTCATACTCAAGTGGCACAATAATAAATATACAGTATATGTATGTATGTATGTATGTATGTATCTTCAAGTGTCCTTGGGCCACAACACATCAAAAAATCCCACAACCCAACACCAAGTCAGACGACTGAAAATCACACAAGATGAACTATTATTGCACTTATTACTATGCTCTTTGGGAACGTTTCTCATTATAATAAATCAATTTTTTTGGTCATATTGACAAGGTGTTCTCACTACTTAAAGTGAGAACAATGAGAACGGGGAATAAGGTTAATAAGTAGCGCAGGCCGACCCTATTTAGCTATGGACAATTCACATAGGAGGCATGTTTATTCCTATTATGAAAATTATTTATTGACTGTTTAAGTCAACCGGTTTAAGAACCAGAGCTTATTTTGTGGAAAAGGTGTACTCCTGGTCCACACTACTCTTCTTAATAGTTCCTGTTTGGAGTCACGATTGCAGTGTTTTTGAACCATTCATTTTACCTCTACTCACCTCCAATCACAGTTTAGCTCCTAACTAATATAGCGCTTGCTATATCGATGAACATGACTGCGTAGCAGGCTGATATTGAAACTAAATATTACAGGAAATGCATTTCATCGTGTGTTTGATCATATTAATCTATGTACATGGTCCAGACTTCAAAGGTGCGGCAACAAGGATTCCAGAGAGCTATACTAGAATAAACATATCATCTGCCACACTTTTCTCCACCGTTTGTTAATGACTTCAATCTATTATAAAGTTGATTTAGTTAAACTTTTGTATTGAGCGTGCAGGAAGTGTGCAGGTCTATCCCAGAATCCCAATTCATAACAGAAGTTATCTCAGGACACTTTTCAAATAGAGCAGGTCTAGACCGAACTCTTCAAAACATTAATTACAGAGACCCAACAGTACCACCATGAGCAAGCACTTGGCGACAAGGGCAAGGAAAAACTGCCTGTTAAAAGGCAGAAACCTAGGATAGATCCTCCGGCTCTAGGTGGGTGGTCGTCTGTCTCGACCAGTTGGGGTGAGAGAGAGAGAGAGAGAGAGAGAGAGAGAGAGAGAGAGAGAGAGAGAGAGAGACAGACAGACAGACAGACAGACAGACAGACAGACAGACAGGTGCACAGCAACAACAGTATTGGCAATGGCAATCTAGCAGGACCATGGCAGGAGGCTCCACCAGGATCGACAAGAACCTGCAAGACGAGAAAGCACAAGAACTCCGGGGAAGAAGTGAAGTTAGTAACATGCATTAATGGAACATGAATGAGTGCAGAAAGAGAGAGGAAGGGAGGAGCTCAGTGCACCATGGGAAATCCCCCGATAGTCTAGGCCTATAGCAGCATAACTAAGGGATGGTTCAGGACTCACCTGATCCAGCCCTAACTATAAGCTTTATCAAAGAGGAACGTCTTAAGCCTACTCTTGAATGTGGTGAGGGTGTCTGCCTCCCGAACCACAACTGGAAGCTGGTTCCACAGGAGAGGAGCTTGGTAACTGAAAGCTCTGGCTCCTGTTCTACTTTAAGATACTATAGGAACCACAAGTAGCCCAGCATTCAGAGAACGTAGTGTTCTAGTGGGGTAATAGGGTACTATGAGCTCTTTAAGATATGAAGGGGCCTGACCATGAAGAGCTTTATAGGTGAGGAGGAGGATTTTAAATTCTATTCTACATTTTACAGGGAGCCAATGCAAAGAAGCTAATACAGGAGAGATGTGATCTCTTTTTCTAGTTCCTGTCAGTACTCGTGCTGCAGCGTTCTGAATTAATTGGAGCGTTTTAATGGACTTATTGGGGCAACCTGATAATAAAGAGTTGCAGTAATCCAGCCTTGAAGTAATAAATGCATGGATTAGTTTTTCTCCATCTGTCTGTGATAGTATGTGTCTAATTTTTCTAATATTACGTAAATGAAAGAAGGCAGTCCTAGAGGTCTGCTTTATGTGGGAGTTAAATGACAAATCCTGATCAAAGATAACTCCAAGATTCCTGACAGTGGTGCTAGAGGCCAAGTTAATGCCATCTAGAGTAACTATATATTTAGACAGTGAGTCTCTAAGGTTTTTGGGGCCAAGAACAAGAATTTCGTTTTTTTCTGAGTTTAACATCAGAAAATTGCAGGTCATCCAGGATTTTATGTCCTTAAGACATGTTTGTAATTTAGATAATTGATTAATTTCATCGGGCTTGATTGATAGATATAACTGCGTATCATCTGCATAACAGTGAAAGTTAATGGAGTGATTCCTAATAATGTTGCCTAAAGGGAGCATATATAAAGTAAATAATATTGGTCCAAGCACAGAACCTTGTGGAACTCCATGACTAACTATAGTATTTATTGAAGATTCATCGTTAACATGTACAAACTGCGAACAATCTGATAAATATGACTTAAACCAGCTTAGTGCAGTTCCTTTAATGCCAATTTGATGCTCAAGTCTCTGTAAAAGAATATTATGGTCAATGGTGTCAAATACAGCACTAAGATCTAATAATACAAGTACAGAGACAAGTCCATTGTCAGAAGCAATCAGAAGGTCATTATTAACTTTAACCAGAGCTGTCTCTGTGCTGTGATGAACTCTAAATCCTGACTGAAAATCCTCAAATAAACTATTGTTATGTAGAAAGTCACACAACTCTTTGGCAACTACTTTCTCCAGAATCTTAGAGAGGAAGTGGAGGTTAGAAATCGGTCTATAGTTGGCTAAAACCCCTGGGTCAAGAGTGGACTTTTTAAGAAGGGTTTTAATTACAGCTACTTTAAAGGACTGTGGTACATATCCTGATAATAAAGAAAAATTAATCATATCCAGTAAAGAAGTGCCAATTAAGGGAACAACTTCTTTAAGCAGCCTAGTTGGGATCGGGTCTAATAGACAGGTTGAATACAGAATACATCACAGAACATGAAATTGCCTCAAGTTTAGCTTCTATTAAGCACTACACTTTTCGTATATAAAAGGCAGAGGGGCAGAGATGATGAAACTGTAACCTGTAACTCTAGCAAAGCATCTAGAAGTATCCACTCCACTCATTGGTTCTTTTTTTTTTACTTTAACTCAGAATTTGTACAAATACATACTCTTCTTCAAAGACTGGATCAGAGATTTCCCCCCAGACCATTCTTAAAGAGTCATTGTTAATAGTAGTGTGTCACATGTAATTGTGTCAAATACAGGAGGACCATAGCTGACAACTTTATCACCACTGCTTTTCTCTGTGTACACAAATGAGTTTGAGATTGATCATGCTAATCTTAGTTGCAGATGATGGCTCTAGTTGCTCTATTGCAGAAAAGGGATACTGAGAGAGAGAGTCTATAGATTAATCATGTGTTAACTCTATATAACTGGTGTTTAACAAGCTCCTTAGAAATAAAACGTAAATAAACGTAAGTAAGAAAAAAGAGCTCATCATATAAAACAGCATAGATTTAATGCAGCCCTATAATGATGAATGGGCAAAAGGTTGGGATAGCTGCTGATTTCAAATACCTGGGTACATACATTGACAGTTGTCTTCCTGACCACTTTTTTAAAGAAATGTTCACATCTGGGGTGGCTGTGGCTCAGAGGGAGAGCGGGTCTTCCCCTAATCGGAAGGTTGTTGGTTCGATCCCCGGCTCCTCCTGCCACGTGTCGAAGTGGAGCAAGATGAGCAAGATACTGAACCCCAAATTGCCCCCGATGCACAGCATCGGTGTGTGAATGAGTTAGTTTCTGTTTGATGGACTTTGCCATCGCTGCGCGAATGTGTGTGAAGAGGTGAATGTGGCACGTAGTGTAAAAGCGCTTTGAGTGGTCGGAAGACTAGAAAGGCGCTATATAAGTACAGGTCCATTTACCAACACCTGCACTTGCTCAACAATTTATGAGTGAGCCAAAATATTCTGTAAACTGTGTACAAGAACCTAGTGGTAAGTATTCCATCCTTTTACATGATAATGTGGTATGGTCATTTGAACATTGAGAGGATGAATAAGCTGCAGAAAATAGAAAACATTGCCTCCAACATTGTAAGGAAGCCACAAAAGTAGCTAGGTAGTATGTATGATGAACTCTTAAGAAGTAAAGCTGACAGAATTCTGGTAAATGGTAAAAGGACTGCACTTATATTGCGCCTTTCTAGTTTTTCAACCACTCAATGCGCTGTATACTTCATGTCACACTCACCCCATTCACACACATTCATACACTGATGGCAGTAGCTGTCATGCAATATGCCAACTGCTCACCAGAACGCAAACTTATCATTCACACACACACTCAGACAGCATCGGGAGCAATTTAGGGTTCAGTGTCTTGCTCAATGACACTTCGACATGCAGCAAGAGGAAAATTTCCACATTGTGGACAAAAAACATTTCGTATTTGTATTCATATTCATTAGTGTTTGATAGAAACACAGCTTTAAAGACCTTAATGAGGATTCTGCACCTGAAGTATCCCTGAGTCGATCAGTCTGTTCTCCTTCCCTCTGCCCTGACTGTGAGAGAACCAACACAGTCTATATTAAGCATCAGAAGGAATTGACAGAGTGTCTTTCTATTAATACCTGAGAGACTGCCGGCAAGCATCTATAATAGATACAACTGCTGCTTGTGTTGCTTTTTAAAGTCTACCGTGCTCAGATCAGTATTTTCTTCAGGTCATACACTGTAGCACTAAAACACTTGTTCTGGGAGCATTTAGTTTTCTCTCCTTTAGCTTATATGTGGCCTGGTCAAGAATGATTGGACCATGCACAGGATAAAATCTTTTTGTGGGTTTTTATTCCCCTACTCTATTTTTGAGGATTTAAGATAGTTACAGTTGCAACAAAACATTCAGGCGGACCCAACAAAAGCTTCTAAATCATTTTACCTTCCAGGAGAGACTCAAAGTTAGGCATACATTGATGGACATAATTCCTAATCTGCAAATATCGGAAAAAATGTGTTTTGGGAAGAGAAAACTAGTTTTTTGTTTGAGTAAATGTGGCAAACTGTTTGTTAATATACAAATCTTTCAAAGTAACTAAACCTGTTAACCTCCAAATGTTGAAGGACCCATCTGAAAGGGATGGGGAGAATGCATGACTGCAATATATTGGGGCATGAATAGAAGTGTCTGGCAACCTTCAGCCCTTTCTAATTTGCTGCCATATTTTTAAGCAATTAAAAACTATCATGTTATCTATCTTAGTTGCAGGGGGTCTGGGTGCTGAGAAGAGAAGTGCTGGAAGTGAACTGTTTTTGCCATCAATCATTTCGATGGCAACCCAGGAGGGAATCTCAGCAGATACTTCCATCTTGTAACCCTCCTGCCAATAGACAAGGGTCCTAGCATTGCTACCCAATCATAATGCAGGAAATATGGTAATCCAAACCCTCCCATTTCTCCTGGTTTATGTAAATGAGTTTTTGAAATTCTATGAGCTTTGAAGCCCCAAATAAAAGGCGAAACTATCGAATCCAAAGATTTGATAAAAGAATGTGCCACAAAAATGGGTACATTTTAAAAAAAGATACAAAAACCTCGGCAGGGAGACCATTTTGATGGCATTCATTTGACCCACCATAGAAAGAGGAAGGGTCCTCCATTTTTCAATGTCCCTCCTCAGTTTTTCCACTTTCTCAAGAAAATTCAACTTAAAAATTTGTTTAGGGTCATTTGGCAGAACTACTCCAACACACTTCAGTCTATCTGTAATTTTGAATGGGAGATTATGCAAAACTTCAGCATTGAGATCAGCTCCCAGCGACATAAATTACTCTTCCGCCACTTAATGGTGTATCCTGAAACTTAACCAAATGTTCTTATAAGATCTAGTAGAACAGGAACAGATTGCTCAGGCTGTGATATGAAGAGAACAACATCATCCGCATATAGGGAAATATGATGCTCCACATTACCCAATCAGAGGGTTCAATAGAAGGGTGATTCCTAATACTAATGGCAACAGGCTCAATAGCAATGACCAAGAGCAACAGGCTGAGGGGGCAGCCCTGGCGTGTCTCGCGGTGTAATGAGAACGACACTAACATACATTATATTCATTAATCTCCTGACATCAGAAAATTAATTCAATTCAATTCAATTCAATTCAATTTTATTTGTATAGCGCCAATTCATAACAGAAGTTATCTCAGGACACTTTTCAAATAGAGTAGGTCTAGACCGAACTCTTTAAAACATGATTTACAGAGACCCAACAGTACCACCATGAGCAAGCACTTGGCGACAAGGGCAAGGAAAAACTGCCTGTTAAAAGGCAGAAACCTAGGACAGATCCTTCGGCAGACAGACAGACAGACAGACAGACAGGTGCACAGCAATAATACTATTGGCAATGGCAATCCAGCAGGACCATGGCAGGAGGCTCCACCAGGATCGATAAGCACCTGCAAGACGAGAAAGCACAAGAACTCCGGGGAAGAAGTGAAGTTAGTAACATGCATTAATGGGACATGAATGAGTGCAGAAAGAGAGAGGAAGAGAGGAGCTCAGTGCACCATGAGAAATCCCCCGATAGTCTAGGCCTATAGCAGCATAACTAAGGGATGGTTCAGGACTCACCTGATCCAGCCCTAACTATAAGCTTTATCAAAGAGGAACGTCTTAAGCCTACTCTTAAATGCGGTGAGGGTGTCTGCTTCCCGAACCACAACTGGAAGCTGGTTCCACAGGAGAGGAGCTTGGTAACTGAATGCTCTGGCTCCTGTTCTCCTTTTTGAGACTATAGGAACCACAAGTAGCCCAGCATTCAGAGAACGTAGTGTTCTAGAGGGGTAATAGGGTACTATGAGCTCTTTAAGATATGAAGGGGCCTGACCATGAAGAGCTTTATAGGTGAGGAGGAGGATTTTAAATTCTATTCTACATTTTACAGGGAGCCAGTGCAGAGAAGCTAGTACAGGAGAGATGTGATCTCTTTTTCTAGTTCCTGTCAGTACTCGTGCTGCAGCGTTCTGAATTAATTGGAGCGTTTTAATGGACTTATTGGGGCAACCTGATAATAAAGAGTTGCAGTAATCCAGCCTTGAAGTAACAAATGCATGGATTAGTTTTTCTGCATCTGTCTGTGATAGTATGTGTCTAATTTTTCTAATATTACGTAAATGAAAAAAGGCAGTCCCAGAGGTCTGCTTCATGTGGGAGTTAAATGACAAATCCTGATCAAAGATAACTCCAAGATTCCTGAAAGTGGTGCTAGAGGCCAAGGTAATGCCATCTAGAGTAACTATATCTTTAGACAGTGAGTCTCTAAGGTTTTTGGGGCCAAGAACAAGAATTTCGTTTTTTTCTGAGTTTAACATCAGAAAATTGCAGCTCATCCAAGATTTTATGTCCTTAAGACATGTTTGTAATTTAGATAATTGATTAATTTCATCGGGCTTGATCGATAGATATAACTGTGTATCATCTGCATAACAGTGAAAGTTAATGGAGTGATTCCTAATAATGTTGCCTAAAGGGAGCATATATAAAGGAAGACTAGAACGGCGAAGCCCACAGGTCACCACCAACCGCTTCACGTTTCCAATACATTTTCCCCACTCAGCGATACACCCGCTGAGGAACCAACTCTGATAATTGGCAGCTCCATAGTCAGAAACGTGAAGTTAGCGAAGCCAGCGGCCATAGTTAAATGTATCCCTGGGGCCAGAGCGGGCGACATTGAATCAAATTTAAAACTGCTGGCTAAAGGTAAACGTAAATACAGTAAGATTGTTATCCACGTCGGCGGTAACGACACCCGTTTACGCCAATCGGAGGTCACTAAGATTAATGTGGAGTCGGTGTGTAATAATGCTAAGACAATGTCGGACTCCGTAGTTTTCTCTGGACCCCTCCCCAATGTGATCAGTGATGACATGTATAGCCGCATGTCGTCATTCCACCGCTGGCTGTCGAGGTGGTGTCCAGCAAACGATGTGGGCTTCATTGATAACTGGAAGCCTTTTTGGGGAAAACCTGGTCTGATTAGGAGAGACGGCATCCATCCCACTTTGGATGGAGCGGCTCTCTTATCTAGCAACATGGCGAAGTTTATTTCTAAAACCTGACAGTCAAGAGTTAGGACCAGGAAGCAGAGCTGCTGTCTTACACACTTCTCTGCTCTTTCTTTAGAACAGTCACCCACCCAAAACCCCGTAGAGACTGTGTCTGTCCCCCGACCACCTAAATTATTTAAAGAAATAAAAACAAGAGGAGTTCAACATAAAAATCTAATAAAAATTAAAACCAACTCCTCAGTAGCACAAAATAAGAGAATGAAATGTGGGCTGTTAAATATCAGGTCTCTGTCCTCTAAAGCTGTTTTAGTGAACGAATTAATATCAGATTATGATATTGATTTACTTTGTCTTACTGAGACCTGGTTGTCCCACGAGGAGTATGTTAGCCTAAATTAATCCACCCCCCCAGTCATATTAATACTCACATTCCTCGAAGCACTGGCCGTGGAGGTGGAGTGGCAGCCATATATGATTTGAGCGTTTTAATGGACCCTAAACCTAAACTAAATTATAATTCATTTGAAAGCCTTGTTCTAAGTCTTTTTCACCCAAACTGGAAAACACTGCAGCCAGTTCTATTTGTTATAGTGTACCGCGCTCCTGGACCGTACTCTGACTTTATATCTGAATTTTCAGGGTTTCTATCAAGTTTAGTCCTTAAATCAGATAAAGTAATTATTGTAGGTGATTTTAATATTCATGTGGATGTTGACAATGACAACCTTAGTAATGCATTTATATCATTAATAGACTCAATTGGCTTCTGTCAGAGTGTAAATAAACCAACTCATTGTTTTAATCACACTCTTGACCTTGTTTTATCATATGGCATTGATATTGAACATTTAATAGTCTTCCCACATAATCCTTTCCTATCTGACCATTATTTAATAACTTTTGAATTTATATTATTAGATTATAAGCCATTAGGCAAAACTTCCTACAGCAGATGTCTATCTGACAGTGCTGTAGCTAAATTTAAGGAGGAGATTCCTTCAGTGTTTAATTCAATGCCATGTCTGAATTTAACAGAGTCCTATAATGACTTTAGTCCCTCTGAAATTGATAATCTTGTCGATAGTGCTACAGGCTCACTACGATCAACATTAGACTCTATCGCTCCTATAAAAAGGAAATTATTAAAACATAGGAGACTAGCACCTTGGTATAACCACCAAACCCGCCAGTAAAAACAAATAGCTAGAAAATCTGAAAGGAAATGGCGCTCTTCCAAATTATTAGAATATCGCTCAATTTGGCAAGATAATCTTAAAACCTATAGAAAGGCCCTCCGTAATGCCAGAGGAGCCTATTACTCAGCACTAATAGAAGAAAATAAGAACAACCCTAGGTTCCTCTTCAGCACTGTAGCCAGGCTGACAGAGAGTCACAGCTCTATCGAGCCACATATCCCCATAAACTTAAGTAGCAATGACTTCATGAGCTTCTTCTATAATAAAATTATTACTATTAGAGAAAAAATTAATCACCAACTGCCATCAACAGTTATCAGTGGCTCTCCAAGTTCAGGGACTTCTGTCAATGTAAACTTAGATATATATTTAGACTGTTTTTCTGCTATCGATCTTCATCAGTTAACTTCAATCATTTCTTCATCGAAGCCATCAACCTGTCTATTAGACCCGATCCCAACTAGGCTGCTTAAAGAAGTTGTTCCCTTAATTGGCACTTCTTTACTGGATATGATTAATCTTTCTTTATTATCAGGATATGTACCACAGTCCTTTAAAGTAGCTGTAATTAAACCCCTTCTTAAAAAGTCCACTCTTGACCCAGGGGTTTTAGCCAACTATAGACCGATTTCTAACCTCCCCTTCCTCTCTAAGATTCTGGAGAAAGTAGTCGCCAAAGAGTTGTGTGACTTTCTACATAACAACAGTTTATTTGAGGATTTTCAGTCAGGATTTAGAGTTCATCATAGCACAGAGACAGCTCTGATTAAAGTTAATAATGACCTTCTGACTGCTTCTGACAATGGACTTGTCTCTGTACTTGTATTATTAGATCTTAGTGCTGCATTTGACACCATTGACCATGATATTCTTTTACAGAGACTTGAGCATCAAATTGGCATTAAAGGAACTGCCCTAAGCTGGTTTAAGTCATACTTATCAGATCGTTCTCAGTTTGTACATGTTAACGATGAATCCTCCATAAATACTAAAGTTAGTCATGGAGTTCCACAAGGTTCTGTACTTGGACCAATACTATTTACTTTATATATGCTCCCTTTAGGCAACATTATTAGGAATCACTCCATTAACTTTCACTGTTATGCAGATGATACGCAGTTATATCTATCAATCAAACCCAATGAAATTAATCAATTATCTAAATTACAAACATGTCTTACGGACATAAAATCCTGGATGACCTGCAATTTTCTGATGTTAAACTCAGAAAAAAACAAAATTCTTGTTCTTGGCCCCAAAAACCTTAGAGACTCATTGTCTAAAGATATAGTCACTCTAGATGGCATTAACTTGGCCTCTAGCACCACTGTCAGGAATCTTGGAGTTATCTTTGATCAGGATTTGTCATTTAACTCCCACATAAAGCAGACCTCTAGGACCGCCTTCTTTCATTTACGTAATATTAGAAAAATTAGACACATACTATCACAGACAGATGCAGAAAAACTAATCCATGCATTTGTTACTTCAAGGCTGGATTACTGCAACTCTTTATCATCAGGTTGCCCCAATAAGTCCATTAAAACGCTCCAATTAATTCAGAACGCTGCAGCACGAGTACTGACAGGAACTAGAAAAAGAGATCACATCTCTCCTGTACTAGCTTCTCTGCATTGGCTCCCTATAAAATGTAGAATTGAATTTAAAATCCTCCTCCTCACCTATAAAGCTCTTCATGGTCAGGCCCCTTCATATCTTAAAGAGCTCATAGTACCCTATTACCCCACTAGAACATTACGTTCTCTGAATGCTGGCCTACTTGTGGTTCCTATAGTCTCTAAAAGTAGAACAGGAGCCAGAGCCTTCAGTTACCAAGCTCCTCTCCTGTGGAACCAGCTTCCAGTTGTGGTTCGGGAGGCAGACACCCTCACCACATTCAAGAGTAGGCTTAAGACATTCCTCTTTGATAAAGCTTATAGTTAGGGCTGGATCAGGTGAGTCCTGAACCATCCCTTAGTTATGCTGCTATAGGCCTAGACTATCGGGGGATTTCCCATGGTGCACTGAGCTACTCTCTTCCTCTCTCTTTCTGCACTCATTCATGTCCCATTAATGCATGTTACTAACTCCACTTCTTCCCCGGAGTTCTTGTGCTTTCTCGTCTCGCAGGTTCTCATGGATCCTGGTGGAGCCTCCTGCCATGGTCCTGCTTGACTGCCATTGCCAATACTGTTGTTGCTGTGCACCTGTCTGTCTGTCTGTCTCTCGCTCTCTCTCTCTCTGCCTCTCTCTCTCTCTCTCTCTCTCTCTCTCTCTCTCTCTCTCTCACCCCAACTGGTCGAGACAGACGACCACCCACCTAGAGCCGGAGGATCTGTCCTAGGTTTCTGCCTTTTAACAGGCAGTTTTTCCTTGCCCTTGGCGCCAAGTGCTTGCTCATGGTGGTACTGTTGGGTCTCTGTAATTAATGTTAAAGAGTTCGGTCTAGACCTGCTCTATCTGAAAAGTGTCCTGAGATAACTTCTGTTATGAATTGGCGCTATACAAATAAAATTGAATTGAATTGAATTGAATAAAGTAAATAATATTGGTCCAAGCACAGAACCTTGTGGAACTCCATGACTAACTGTATTATTTATTGAAGATTCATCGTTAACATGTACAAACTGCGAACAATCTGATAAATATGACTTAAACCAGCTTAGTGCGGTTCCTTTAATGCCAATTTGATGCTCAAGTCTCTGTAAAAGAATATTATGGTCAATGGTGTCAAATACAGCACTAAGATCTAATAATACAAGTACAGAGACAAGTCCATTGTCAGAAGCAATCAGAAGGTCATTATTAACTTTAATCAGAGCTGTCTCTGTGCTGTGATGAACTCTAAATTCTGACTGAAAATCCTCAAATAAACTATTGTTATGTAGAAAGTCACACAACTCTTTGGCGACTACTTTCTCCAGAATCTTAGAGAGGAAGGGGAGGTTAGAAATCGGTCTATAGTTGGCTAAAACCCCTGGGTCAAGAGTGGGCTTTTTAAGAAGGGGTTTAATTACAGCTACTTTAAAGGACTGTGGTACATATCCTGATAATAAA